AACTATCAGTCCCGTGGGAACTAAGTTGATAGAACATACCACAGCTGCACCCAAGGCCAATGCTTGAACTTTCATTCTTTCACCATCTTATCTTAGCTTTCTTCCACCCTATGTCACTTGGTCATCTCATAAGTAAAAATTGGGATGGCATCGCCTCCATATATTCCTAAGCCTTTACATGACTGATGCTACTAGAGAATAAGGAAGTGTCCTGTGACACCTTCTGTGGAAAGATCCAGAAATACCAAATAGGAAGAATGACCCTTGACAGCATGTGACCAACTCAAGAAAAAGGTTATCACATTCCATTTGATTATCTTATTCTTACTACACCAACCGTCTGAATGCATAAACACAAAATCCAGGAAACCTTTGTAACATTGCACATTGTGCAAGAACATGTACAACAGCAATGTCCTTCACTGATCGAGTAGATTACATCTAGAGATTATGGCACTAACTACGTTGTATGACAACGGTCTGTTGTTGTGGGTAAACCCAATGTTTCCCGTTAAGCAAGGAGCATTAGATACATACATTTCTACTTTGTTTCTAACAAGAAGATAGCTTGAAATAGAAAAGCTGCTACCTGATTCTGTAGAAGGTGATAGTCTGTGTTCTACAAAAGTACGTACACTGTTTCTTGTTTTGTTTTAGACATCAATAAAGATTGTTCTTCACTTTATACAACGTGTCCATTCTATATGTTTTCTTAGCTTAAAATTCAGTCAGTTTAGCTATATGCAGATTTACTCTGTAATTATCCTGATCGATCCTCCCGTTGTAGAACGGATCTACGTAATACTTATTGTCTAAACCAGTTAATCTAAGAATATCACAGTGTGACGAATTTTGAAAACAATGGTGAACAGAAAATATTCAATTTTGCGCTTCTCATGTTACACGCTAACTTTTATCAAGACCAACAGAGAGGTGGATTACGTTTTTTTGTTATACCTGTGCATATTTTGTAATTTATTTTGAAGTAATATTTAAATGTTTTACAAAAAACTGGTCACAGTAAAATACTTAACTTTCATAATACACGAGTCATAATAAAAGGTATTGAATATAACTTTCGATACAAATTATCATACGTAGTTTTTAAAGCTATGTTTTCTTTGAAAATGTCCCTTTATCATTAGGTCAGCAACATGAATTTGTAAGTTACCATCAGATTTCATCTTATTTTATCGTCTTGTTACGACAGCGGAAGTCACGTGACTCTGGTAACACGTCATGAGCTTCTAGAACGTTCGTGTCCCTTCGTGAATGCTCGAGTGTTTACTAGATATGCGGTGTTCATATATATAAGACCGCCAATAACTGACGGCAACAATGTAGTTGAATTGCAGACAGAGATAGAGACGGACAGTTGAGTCGAGCCCGTGAATCGTTTGTTCTGAATTATAGCGTTGTTTAAGTTATAGCATGACCGTGGAAATTAAGTGTATTGCAAAGTTGTATTGAGAAAGAATAAACTAGTTTTATTTAAGAAAGGACTTGTATCGCTGAAGTTTCATGAAGGAAAGAAATGATACGGGAAATTAACTAACGACCAGAGACGTAACAGTCTCATGAAACTACATTGCTATAAACAGCTTAATTATCATTTAATCGTGTAAGACGCTGATTATAAAGATCCGTGTTCTTTAAATCTTCGAGGAAACAACGTCAACAGTTCTTTCATAACTTACACAAACTTATGGTGTGTGGAAGTCCACGTGTTAACTCTGCTAAATAAATTCTCAATAACCACTTAATGTAAAACGTGGCCTGTATATCGATTGCCACTAAATGGGAGGAGCCTGTACTTCGCTCAACGGACAAAACCTCTTGTCTATATGCCACGCGGCACGTGTATATATATCTGTGTCTGCCCAAGGACGACTTCCTCAGGGCATTCTATGATAAAATAAAAGTCAGTAAATACAGAAAGAGGACTGATTCAAATTCATAAAGATAGGAGTTATATATATATGTGTATATGATTCGGCAACTACGGCCCACAAACTATAAAACTTGGCCGGGCGTGACCTAGTAGTTAGTGTGCTCGGACAGTGAATCTGAGGGCTTACGGTTCACAGCCAGCGACCACAAAAATCGTGCTCTATACTGCGAGGTCGTGCTGTAGGAGTGAAGATTAAATATCCACAATCGGACATAAGAAATCCAAAAGTTAGTGGTGTTGCTGTAAACTAGTTGTCTTTCCTCTAGTGGTGTTGCTGTAAACTAGTTGTCTTTCCTCTAGTGGTGGTGCTGTTAACTAGTTGTCTTCCCTTTAGTGGTGGTGCTGTTAACTAGTTGTCTTTCCTCTAGTGGTGGTGCTGTTAACTAGTTGTCTTCCCTGTAGTGGTGGTGCTGTTAATTAGTAGACATCCTTCTAGTGGTGGTGCTGTTAACTAGTTGTCTTCCATCTAGTGGTGGTGCTTTAAACTAGTTGTCTTTCCTCTAGTGGTGGTGCTGTTAACTAGTTGTTTTCCATCTAGTGGTGGTGCTATAAACTAGTTGTCTTTCCTCTAGTGGTGGTGCTGTTAACTAGTTGTCTTCCCTCTAGCGTTGGTGCTTTTAACTAGTTGTCTTCCCTCTAGTCATCAGTTCAATATTAGAGCTGTTTATGCGTAGCTGTTTGTGTAACTTTGTGCGAATACTCTTGAACAAACAATTATAAAACTGAAACTTTTTCCCTGTATTTTTGTGGCATTATATGCGGTACATTTGATATCTGTTAATATACAGCAGTTTAAAATGTGATAACCTAAAATTACTATGTTTCGGTTTTAGTGGTTTTGTAAATATCTGGTATTCATTCATTTAGCGTTCATTATACTCTTCGGCAAAAAGTAATTATAATTTACTAGTTGGGAAAGTCTCAAACTTAATTAGATAAATTTACATATATCTTAATCATATTATTTATATAAATCATCATTTAAATTGTCTTTTGTTTTTGCTGATTCACTGAAAGATTTTCTAATGTCTTCCAATGGCTCAAGGGCAAGTTTGGTGGTTCATAACACTAAAATTTAAGGCTTGATCCTCAGGACGGACATAGCGCAGTTACCATGGTTTAGCTTTGCACTAAAACAATAAAGCAAAGGTTACTTGACAGAAAATCAAACTACGCAAACGTTACTCTGACCATAGTTTACTATTAAACTACTACCTCATGTGTAAAATGTGTCATATGACATAGTAAACTCACGTAACTAAACGAAAAGGCTTATAGTAACATATTCAATAAGTTGTCACATTTCTTTTTAAATGTACACCTTTAATGTAGAAAATTCAGGGCCCGGCATGGGCTAGTATTTAGGACCTTCGACTCGTAATCTGTGGGTTGCGAGTTCGAATCCTGTCCCCGAACATGCTCGCCTTTCCAGTAGTGGTGTCGTTTGAATGTGACGGTCAGTTCCACTATTCATTGGTAGAGATTAGCCCAAGAGTTGGCGGTGGGTGGTGTTGACTAACTGCCTTCCTACTAGTCTATCTGGCGTAGATAACCCTCGAGTAGCTTTGCGTGAAATTCAAAAACCAACAAAAATAAAATTCGGTCATAGAGAGACTGCCCCTCCTCCAGTGGCACAACGGTATGTTTGCGGACTTACAACGTTAGAATCCGGGTTTCGATACCCGTGGTGGGCAGAGCACATATAGCCCATTGTGTAGCTTTGCGCTTAACTACAAACCAAAAAAAAATAAAAATAGAGAGACTGTTCAGGTGAGGAGTTTGATTCAAACTGGCACAATGGGTTATCATCTTTAGTGTGCCCACTGTGGGGATCGAATCCCAAATTCTAGCATTAAAAACCATGAAGCTTTACTATGTGGAGACTCAAAATTTTACAAACGATTACATAATGTACAGTATCTCAAAATTTATCAACTTAGTTGACTGTGAGTTAATAATTCCTTTCTGAATTTTGGATATATTATGCCAACTAGAAGTTGATTTTTGTTATATATATATATATATAGATTGTATTTTGAAACTAAAGACAAATTTAGGGTGTGGTACTGCCCTTTTATCTGTTTCTTTCAAGTAAATTTAACTTTCTAACTTGGTTTTAATGTTTATTCATACGTTCTCTACTAAATCAACCAATTTCAATACAGAAATTGAAATTTCTTTTAAACCAGATAATTATATACAATTTGATTTAGTTGTATACATGCTTCCATACCCACGTAGTCATCCCTCTAAACAAAAAACAATATTTGTTTCATCTACTGAATTAACACTCAAGCTCAAAAACTGTTAGCCTTGAGTAGCTACTCGATTTTATTATTTTTTGTTATCGGTGGTTGAATATCTTGTGCAAAGTTCAGTAATGATAGTCTCAGAATTAAGCAAAAAACCGAGCACGTACGACGAAGAGTCACTCCTCTTTGACTCGTTAACAAACTTATTCAGTCCCTCTGGTGTCATTTGTCAAATAATTACATTAAAAACTGTTACCTATGTTCCCACAACTTCAATTACTCCTTATTTGAGCATTTTTACCTATGGTATCTTTGTATGGTGTTGTAGTTTCGTTTAATTTAATTCAAATAAAAAAAAATTCTAGCTTGGCAGAGGTCAATTTTAAAAGGTCTCGTAGTTAGTTGTACATCCTCTACTGTAAACACTATTGATATGTTGTACATGAATTTTTTTACCAAAATCCACATATTTTATAATATATCTGGATTAAACTTTGATAATTATATCATCATCATCATCAAAATCATGCGAATTTCTTTTCATTATTTCTTATTTTCCAAAAACTTTTGAAAATTAATTTCCTTTACTTATTGTACCAACCCGTTTTACACGTTTAAAGTCGCGTGCAGCAAAATTTCAGTTGCCGTGATGCATGACGTCAAACGGGAGGCACGTGAGGCTGAGCATGGTGCGCGTGATAGAGCAGCTACAATGCGTTGCCCACGAAGGAAAGGCGCTTATAACATTGGAGATAACATGAAACAAGCAAAACAATACCACGAGTTTTTCAGCGTGACTTAGTTACATCAGTTGCTATGCTAACAGGAGAAACCACGTACTTCAGTTATTAGCCATATGAATTCGGAAAGACGAAGTGTGATAACGCAATGTTCATTACAGTATCTAATTCGCCACGTAAACTTGTTTCTTGTTTATGAACTAGAACTGAAATTACTCAGTACTCCAGCTTAAAAGAACACTTTTTTTTTTAACTCTGTGGATAATACTTTAGAAGTTTAAATTTCAAATCGTTGCCTGGATCCATTAAACTCTCTTTTTTCCCCCCCACTGGTTTAAAACTTTAACATGGAGGATGTGAAAATAGTAGATAATTGTTGGGAGGACTCGAACTTAAGTCAAAATGTGAAGATCGAACGGTGAGTAATATAAAACATAAAAAGAAAAAGAAAACTTCAGTACCTGTGTTTTATTTTTAATAACACATAACAGTGGCAGAAATACATTGTTTAACTTATTTGTTCACTGTTTTTTCATTCAGTATAATTTGTTACGTACATTTTAGTGAATTTATTCAATGTAGTTAAATAAAAAAATATTGTTTATTTTTTATTATTGAAGTGTTTGTAACCGAAAATGAAATTTCACGAAATTCGCAAAATCTACTTTCGCCTTTACTGTGTCTTGCGTTTTAGGTAATTCATACATCTGAAATTATTTCCGCCCCCCCCCCCAAGATATTACGACTGAAGTTAAACATTGGAAATAGTTGGATCTTTAAATTAACTACATGTATTATTTTTTACAAATCTTTGCATTATATGACCTGTCAGTTAAACACTAGTAGAGTAAATATTATTTTAAGTTATACCTGGTCCTATTAATTATTGAAAAAGCTGATAAAAAGAGTTATCAGCACAAATAAATATACATTTTTATGAAATCAAAATAAAAGCAATGAATCCCTAGAAGGAAAAAAACGACTGACTGGTTGTACTATTTTTTGTCTGTGTGTGTATGATATCATTTCTAAGGGCGTTGTTTGTTTATTTGTTGTTAATAAGCGCAAAGATACACAATGGATTACCTTCGCTGTGCCCACCACGGGTATCGAAACTCGGTTTTTAGCGTTATAAACCTTTATACTTACTGCTCGGGATTAAATATGTTTATTAGTAGTTAGAGAAATATCTATATGATATATATGTATATCGCGTAAAGTGGGTGTGTGAAGGTGGTACAGTTAATAATAAAACCGACCGAGGAGGAACGTTCAAACTCAGCTATGCTCTTCACGTAATACATGATAATCCATTAGAAATCTTGCCAGTGACCTAGCTAGTACATAGGCGGGATTACGGGGGTAAAAGGGAGAAGTTGCCCCCACTGATATTCCTGCGAGATAATATGGTGTGTGTGTATATATATATACGACATTAAAAGTAATTAACTCTGACATTTTTCTCCTCCCACCCCCCACATTTGGGTTCTGAATCCTGCCCATGGGTATGAATTTTACCATCAGAACAGTACCATCAGTAACTGGACTAGAGATGTGGTTACTCATAAACCACTGTTTAGACCTGCATCTGAGCCAATGATGTTAGAGATCTATTTAGAATTAATTGCATCTTGACTGCTGATAGTTACAAGCATATTCCTAAGTAGTATTTCATTCCCCCAGGAACAAGACCTGTTTGGAAAGAATTCATTTTCTAGCAAGACAGTGACCTCAGGAATTCAGTAAATGTGGTAAAGCGATACCTGGAGGTTATGAGGCCGAATGGAACATTTGCAAGCATGGCTTGACCATCACAAAGTCTCATTTG